AACTAACAATACAAGTACTGTGATGGCTCCTATAATTCTGATGTCATTCATCTCATCCAACATAAGTGCACCATATTCCTAGAAGAGAACAATTTTGAAGACAATTACATATGGCGCAGTCTATATTTTCTTACTTCACAAGAGAGGGAGTAGTGGTTTAGAAACTGAATATAAAAAAAAAGTTTACTTTTCAATCATTGGGTCAAACCTGCTGATGTCAGTGAACAAAAATATAGAACCTGCTGAAGATTGTTACAAGAATTAAATGAAATAGCTACGGTCCCATTCACATCCAAATGAGTGAACAGGCAGCAAATACTTTCAACCAACGGAAAGGATATCAGCTAGCAACCTTACAGACAGGCTCTGTAAAGAAACCAGTCACTGAAGTAATAGCCATAAGCTGCTCCTTGCCAACAATGCAAACCCTTCCATCATGCCGTGCCATGACTGTTCTTCATGCTATAACTCTTCTGTAACTAACAGGTTCATGGATTCTAGAGCTTTTCCTCCAGCACCTCTTTAGTAGTTTTTTTTCTAATAATATGTTTAACACAATCACCATCACAATTACCAATACACCCAAATAAATGAGAGCTTCTATGACAACAGCAGTTAGCAAAAGCACATAAAAATCAGAGACAAAGGAAAACCTTAATTCAGTTAGGGCAGTGGTCACCAACCAGTAATTCGGGATCTACTAGTAGATCTTAGAGCCTTTAAGAGGTGATCCTGACTGGTTTGGCCAAGAGGCTATCAAGTACCAACACTTCAGCTGTCCTTTCTCCTACTGCTGCGCATCTCTTGCGCTTTGCCTTGGAGCTGCCTCCCCCGACCCACAGGGCACCCCTGCTTGCAGGGCAGAACAGGGGAGGGAGAAGAGTGGCACTGATGTCAAGGTGCCTCCTCTCCCACCCTCTGGCCTATCTCCACAGAACAGGGTGGGGAGCACAACAGGACTTGGGATGGAGTTTACTGGCTCTTTCTGGGAGCAGTACAGGGCTAGGGCAAGGGTGAGTTTGCCTTAGCCCCACTGCACCACCACCCAGGAGCCACCTGAGATAAGCAGTGCCCAAACGGAGCCCACATCCCGAAACCCTACCCCAGTCATGAATCCCGTACTGCACCCCAATCCCCTGCCCTAGCCCCCAGTATCCAAACACCATCCCACACTCTGCACTTAGAACCCCCTCCAACACCTCCACTGCCTGCCCCAACCTCAGCTCAGAGCCCCTCTCGCACTCCAAACCCCTTAATCCAAGATCAGAGCCTGCACCCCAACCCGCTGTCTCTGCCTGGTGAAAGGGAGGGAGGATGGAGAAAGCAGGGGCGGTGCCTTGGAGAAGGGGCCCAAAGGAGCTGGGGCAAGGGTATTTGGGTTTGAGGTAGATCTTGAATTGCACTTAAATTCAAAAACTGATCTCATGCTTAAAAAGGTTGTAGACCACTGAGTTAGGGTATTCTTCCTACAAATGCAAGATCATCCCTCCTAGTACGTTTACAAAAAGAGTTTCAGTCTCTGTCAAATAACCTCAGCAATGGAACTTCCATCCCTTCCTCTCAGAGACTATTCTACAAGCTAATACAATTTATGGTTAGGAAATTCTTACTGGTTTACAGATCGCAAAAAAAGGAACATCCACCCCCAGTGCACCCCTCTCATACTTCTATGAATAATTACTCTTCTTCCTTAATATTTACACCTTTCAAGTATTTATAGATTTAGGATCTTTAGCAGTCATTTGCCAAATTATATATATTTAGCTCTTTAATTCCTTATAATTGCTGTCACTCATCTGAATTATATCCTATTTGCCAATAATTTTATGCTAATGTTTTGTCCCAAACTGAATAATCTGTTATATGCCAAGTAAGGATGTTAAATATCAATTAATTTACTAGTCAAGTAGTCAACAAGTTGATAGGCACTTTTGCAGCTGATTCCAGGTTCCATGAAAATGTCACACAGAGTCCCCAGGCTCTGTGCTGCATTTCAAAGCAGCAGCACCACACAGAGCCTGACACCAGCTGTGCGACGCTGCCCCTTTGAAACACTGCTGCAGTGTGTCAAACCAGCCACGCCACCACAGTCCGTACCCCAGGCTCTGTGCAGCGCAGCTGCTTTGAAATACCCCCCCCCCCCCCCCCCCTTTTTCTGCCTCTGTTTCAGAGGCAGCAAGGGGCAGGAAGCGACTAGTCGACAACTATCTGATAAGCATTTGCTTATCAGATAGTTGACTAGTCGTTAACACCCTTAATGCAAGTGTAGTTATGCACAGGATTGAAACATTGAGGAATATTACCAATCCTGACACTGTGTCAAACCACCCAAAAATGCACTGGACTTTTCTTGCTGCCATACTATTGTACAAACACATTTGGTATCATTCACAAATCTCTTCTCATATTGCCACATTCCAGGTTTTCTTTTTACTAAGCACAAATTTTTCCTCAGTCAAATTCTGCTCCCAGGAAATGAGATCATATTTGTGATTTTTACTTCATTCTACCGTTTTCTGGCTATTTTTAATTTTCTAAATCCTTTAAAAAGCACTTGGGAACATTCTACCAGCCAACCATACATTTTAAGTTTTAGAAGGACTGCTTGGCCAACAACAAAATGCTTATTAGTAACTCTTATATGATTTTTTTCCTAAACTGTCAATTTGATTTTTATTACAATTTTAGCTCCGTTCCATGCTAAAAAGGCAAAAATGTAAGAAGTTACTAATACCAAACTGAATTTTTCATAATTCAGCAGTGCATGAATATGAAAAGTAATATTGTAGCACATGCTAAACCTATAATGCATGCTGCTAACTGAAATTAATAGCATAAATAGCCATACAGATTAGCTAACGCAATCTATTTACCTGTAGCAGTTGTACAACTGTCTCTGCAAAACCAACCACATACATAGCTACTGCAACAGCATTAGCAAATGCGAAGATCAAGCCGATTGCACCACCAAATTCAGGTCCCAGGCTTCTGGAAATTAAATAATACGCTCCTCCTATAGGAAGGGAAATTATAGAAAATATTTTAGAACTCCATACACCAACAAAGCTATAATTATTTATGTGGGCAACAAAAAGTCACTAGCATCAATGAAAATCTTAAATCCTAGGCATTATCATAACAAACAATAAATCTGAACTACTTTCCTTATATGTTTAAAGAACACTCAGTATGTAACAGATACTGACATCTTACATTTAGAGATTATACTTCCTCACGTTATTAAAATTACTTAAACCTGATATCTTACGCCATCACTGGAGACATGCATTAAAAATCACCAGAAATATTCTGAGCAGTCTTATTCAAGTACACAGCTGATTTGGAATTTTACAGAATCATGCAAATTTGTAGTTCAGTAAATTTGTATTACAGGCAGTCCCCGACTTACGCGGATCCGACTTATGTCGGATCCACAGATACGAACGGGGCTCGCCCCGGAGGACACGGGCTGCGGGACCTCGCGGTCCTGCCGCCCCTGTACTCCGGGGCTTTCTCCGCGTCTCCCTGGTCTGCAGACCAGGAAGACGCGGAGCAAAGCTGCGGAGGGGCTCGGGCAGCGAGGCAGCCCAGGCGTGCCTGGGCTGCCCCGCTGCCGGCTTCCCTGAGGCTTTGCAAAGCCACGGAGGGGCTGGGGCAGACCAGGGAGACGCGGAGAAAGCCC